ACATCGACCGATTGACTGTTTGAACAACGTGTTGATTGATCGACGGACTGAATGAATGAATGAAAGCATGAATGAATGAGTGAATGGATGAGTAAATGATTAATTGATTAATTGATTGAATGATTGATTGGTGGATTGAATAATGGAGTGGTTGATGGAGTGATTGAGTGACTGGTTGTTTAATGCAGAGATTGACTGACTGAATGACAGTGATTGCGTTTGAGAGTGTTGGCAATGCAAATGTGTCGATGGTGAGTGTGAAGGTGAGTGGCGACAGCATGTTTATGTTGTTTTGTAGCTGAATGCATCAGCATGATCAGTGGTGTAGTGGATGCGAGCAGAGATTCACACTGATTGTAGGCACAGTGACACGGATGTGGGATGACGAGAGAGTGTATGGTATGTGTGATGTGTATTTTGTTTGTGTGACCTGAGACAGAGGATGTGACTGGCATATTGCGAGACAATGTGGATATGATGTTGACTTGTGACGAGTGTACTAATTGTGGTTGTTTGTGTGTTTGTGTGTGTTCTCTCTGCTTCTGTACAGACACATCGACAGGCGTTGCGACTGAGACCAGCAGTGTGGAGCACACAGACACAAGTGCGGCGTCAGAACTCAGTCGACCGAACACCACTAGCACTAGTACGAGCACGAGCACGAGCACGAGCACGAGCACGAACGTGGACACAAGCACAAGCACTAGCACCACCGCGACCACAAGCACAACATTGACGCCGTCGATGACGATGACCACGGCAGCAACATTGGCTACGATGCGGATGACCGAGCCGTCATCAACTACTGCTGCAGCTACTTTCGGTAGGTCCGAATCGTTTTGCAAGACACCAAATGCACTCCACACCTCATTCAACACGTGTTCACATGACATGTGTGCTTGTGTTGAGTGCATCGACTCACGGTTCTACTGATTGGCACATCGACCGATTGACTGTTTGAACAACGTGTTGACTGATCGACGGACTGAATGAATGAATGAAAGGATGAATTAATGAATGAATGAATGAATGAGTGAATGAATGAATGAATGAATGGATGAATGAATGATTAATTGATTAATTGATTGAATGATTGATTGATGGATTGAATAATGGAGTGGTTGATGGAGTGATTGAGTGACTGGTTGTTTAATGCAGAGATTGACTGACTGAATGACAGTGATTGCGTTTGAGAGTGTTGGCAATGCAAATGTGTCGATGGTGAGTGTGAAGGTGAGTGGCGACAGCATGTTTATGTTGTTTTGTAGCTGAATGCATCAGCATGATCAGTGGTGTAGTGGATGCGAGCAGAGATTCACACTGATTGTAGGCACAGTGACACGGATGTGGGATGACGAGAGAGTGTATGGTATGTGTGATGTGTATTTTGCGTGTGTAATTGTGACTTAGTGTGAAAGCACTGTGTTGTTTGTTGTCACTGAGTTGTGTAGATGGTGTTGCAGTGGTCGACGCATTGTTAGTTGTTGTAGTATTATATGTAGTTGTTTGTGTGTGCGTAGATATTGGTGTGATGATGTTGGTGGAGACGGTGGCATAAGTGTCGGTATTTAGTGTTGCATTGATAGTTATTTTGGTTGTGTGACCTGAGACAGAGGATGTGACTGGCATATTGCGATACAATGTGGATATGATGTTGACTTGTGACGAGTGTACTAATTGTGGTTGTTTGTGTGTTTGTGTGTGTTCTCTCTGCTTCTGTACAGACACATCGACAGGCGTTGCGACTGAGACCAGCAGTGTGGAGCACACAGACACAAGTGCGGCGTCAGAACTCAGTCGACCGAACACCACTAGCACTAGTACGAGCACGAGCACGAGCACGAGCACGAGCACGAACGTGGACACAAGCACAAGCACTAGCACCACCGCGACCACAAGCACAACATTGACGCCGTCGATGACGATGACCACGGCAGCAACATTGGCTACGATGCGGATGACCGAGCCGTCATCAACTACTGCTGCAGCTACTTTCGGTAGGTCCGAATCGTTTTGCAAGACACCAAATGCACTCCACACCTCATTCAACACGTGTTCACATGACATGTGTGCTTGTGTTGAGTGCATCGACTCACGGTTCTACTGATTGGCACATCGACCGATTGACTGTTTGAACAACGTGTTGATTGATCGACGGACTGAATGAATGAATGAAAGCATGCATGAATGAGTGAATGGATGAGTAAATGATTAATTGATTAATTGATTGAATGATTGATTGGTGGATTGAATAATGGAGTGGTTGATGGAGTGATTGAGTGACTGGTTGTTTAATGCAGAGATTGACTGACTGAATGACAGTGATTGCGTTTGAGAGTGTTGGCAATGCAAATGTGTCGATGGTGAGTGTGAAGGTGAGTGGCGACAGCATGTTTATGTTGTTTTGTAGCTGAATGCATCAGCATGATCAGTGGTGTAGTGGATGCGAGCAGAGATTCACACTGATTGTAGGCACAGTGACACGGATGTGGGATGACGAGAGAGTGTATGGTATGTGTGATGTGTATTTTGTTTGTGTGACCTGAGACAGAGGATGTGACTGGCATATTGCGAGACAATGTGGATATGATGTTGACTTGTGACGAGTGTACTAATTGTGGTTGTTTGTGTGTTTGTGTGTGTTCTCTCTGCTTCTGTACAGACACATCGACAGGCGTTGCGACTGAGACCAGCAGTGTGGAGCACACAGACACAAGTGCGGCGTCAGAACTCAGTCGACCGAACACCACTAGCACTAGTACGAGCACGAGCACGAGCACGAACGTGGACACAAGCACAAGCACTAGCACCACCGCGACCACAAGCACAACATTGACGCCGTCGATGACGATGACCACGGCAGCAACATTGGCTACGATGCGGATGACCGAGCCGTCATCAACTACTGCTGCAGCTACTTTCGGTAGGTCCGAATCGTTTTGCAAGACACCAAATGCACTCCACACCTCATTCAACACGTGTTCACATGACATGTGTGCTTGTGTTGAGTGCATCGACTCACGGTTCTACTGATTGGCACATCGACCGATTGACTGTTTGAACAACGTGTTGACTGATCGACGGACTGAATGAATGAATGAAAGGATGAATTAATGAATGAATGAATGAGTGAATGAATGAATGAATGAATGGATGAATGAATGATTAATTGATTAATTGATTGAATGATTGATTGATGGATTGAATAATGGAGTGGTTGATGGAGTGATTGAGTGACTGGTTGGTTAATGCAGAGATTGACTGACTGAATGACAGTGATTGCGTTTGAGAGTGTTGGCAATGCAAATGTGTCGATGGTGAGTGTGAAGGTGAGTGGCGACAGCATGTTTATGTTGTTTTGTAGCTGAATGCATCAGCATGATCAGTGGTGTAGTGGATGCGAGCAGAGATTCACACTGATTGTAGGCACAGTGACACGGATGTGGGATGACGAGAGAGTGTATGGTATGTGTGATGTGTATTTTGCGTGTGTAATTGTGACTTAGTGTGAAAGCACTGTGTTGTTTGTTGTCACTGAGTTGTGTAGATGGTGTTGCAGTGGTCGACGCATTGTTAGTTGTTGTAGTATTATATGTAGTTGTTTGTGTGTGCGTAGATATTGGTGTGATGATGTTGGTGGAGACGGTGGCATAAGTGTCGGTATTTAGTGTTGCATTGATAGTTATTTTGGTTGTGTGACCTGAGACAGAGGATGTGACTGGCATATTGCGAGACAATGTGGATATGATGTTGACTTGTGACGAGTGTACTAATTGTGGTTGTTTGTGTGTTTGTGTGTGTTCTCTCTGCTTCTGTACAGACACATCGACAGGCGTTGCGACTGAGACCAGCAGTGTGGAGCACACAGACACAAGTGCGGCGTCAGAACTCAGTCGACCGAACACCACTAGCACTAGTACGAGCACGAGCACGAGCACGAACGTGGACACAAGCACAAGCACTAGCACCACCGCGACCACAAGCACAACATTGACGCCGTCGATGACGATGACCACGGCAGCAACATTGGCTACGATGCGGATGACCGAGCCGTCATCAACTACTGCTGCAGCTACTTTCGGTAGGTCCGAATCGTTTTGCAAGACACCAAATGCACTCCAAACCTCATTCAACACGTGTTCACATGACATGTGTGCTTGTGTTGAGTGCATCGACTCACGGTTCTACTGATTGGCACATCGACCGATTGACTGTTTGAACAACGTGTTGATTGATCGACGGACTGAATGAATGAATGAAAGATTGAATGAATGAATGAATGAATGAATGAATGAATGAATGAATGAATGAATGAGTGAATGGATGAATGAATGATTAATTGATTAATTGATTGAATGATTGATTGGTGGATTGAATAATGGAGTGGTTGATGGAGTGATTGAGTGACTGGTTGGTTAAGGCAGAGATTGACTGACTGAATGACAGTGATTGCGTTTGAGAGTGTTCGCAATGCAAATGTGTCGATGGTGAGTGTGAAGGTGAGTGGCGACAGCATGTTTATGTTGTTTTGTAGCTGAATGCATCAGCATGATCAGTGGTGTAGTGGATGCGAGCAGATTTTCATGTGACTTTTTGGACGTTTAAATTTTTGAGAGTTTATGTGATACGGAGTCTTCTTTGTGATTTTTTTTTATTCTGCAATTGTTCGCATTACTTGTGCGTTTTTTTGTTTATTTGTAGATAATTTCAGTATTTTTGCTCTGCATGGCTTTGGCTGGTTTTTGATTTTTTTCATTGTTTGATTTTTAGATTGTTTTTTCGTTTTGTGTTTTCCCGTCATCCGTCTGTATTCGTTTTCTTTTTTTTGTTTTTATTTTTCTGCTTTATTTTTATTTCCTGTTTTTCCCATATTTTTTTATCCTTCATTTTTTAAAATGTTTTATTTTTTCTTTTCTGACAGTATTTTCTATCAGTGTTCGTCTTCTTACAATTTGTAGTTTGCACTTTGCCTTTAACATTTTGTCTCATAACCATTTCAGATTATTCTACGCTGAAATTGAATGACACATTTCCTTCTTCTTCAATTGCTCCTGGATCCGAAGCAGATATAACAACTGAGCTTTCATCAACGACTGTTACAACAGAATCTACTTTTATCGGTAGAGGTAAGAATTTATTTACTTTTGTTTATTGAATTTTGTATCCATATTCTTTCTATGGTTAGGTTTATTTATTTTCCGGATTTCGTTTCCAGAGTTTTAGGAATTGCATTAGTTTTCTTCTTGTTACAAAAATTTATTGGTGCCTAATTAGTCAGAGTAACCATGTTTTGCACTGTTAATTGACCTTTTTTCCAAAAAAATTATGAAAATAAGTAGCGATTGGCGACCAAATATGGGTTGATAGTTACAACTTATCGAATATTAAACATGTGATATTCGTTCTACCACTGATTTATACTATGAACTCACTGAGTGTGATTACCTGTAAATATGTTGAAGAACGTATGATCTGTCATATACTCTGGTTCTATATTTTTATTCATTAGTTATATACTTGATGTAACGTGATCCAGTCTCTGTATAGTATGTCGTTTGAGTAACCAGATGAGTGTTTACAAAATCTCAATCACCCATCGTATTAGGTTATTATAATAGTATATCATTACAAAAAAAGTTTAATTTCATTTGTCTGTCACATCATCTTTGCAAATGAAAACTTCTATGGTTGTAAAGATACTGATTTAAAAATAGTTTTATTAATCCTAACAGCTAAGTAATCATGGGACTAGACATACATTCTCTCACCTAAATTATACTTCTCTATATCTTATAGATTTCGTATATAAAGTTCTTTATCATCCGATCATTTCAGTGTATATTCGTTTTCTCTGTACATAAAATTTGACATCACTTGGTAATAAATCATATGAAAAGTTTTATGGTAAATGAATCATCAGTATGGTGTTGTGAAAATTATTAGGTTTTTGATTGAGATCATGAATCGATTAACGTTAGACCACCATTGAAGACCTGAAAGTTCTGAACAGCCGATTCTTCATTTACGAAGCCCCTCAGCAGTGCGCACCCACGATCCCGAGAGAGGAATTCGAACCTAGAACCTCCAGTCTCGTGCGCGAACGTTTAACCTCTATACCACTGAATCAGAATCCAACAGTGTTAATGTCTAACCTCAACCAATCCATGAAATTACGCGACCATCTTCCATTGTACTGAGATTGATATCTGTCTCCACCTGAAATGGGTTATCTCCACTGATCACAGCTTCGCACTAGAACTCTGAGAATTCCTTCACGACGTTAGTCATTAGTGAGCACATGGTAATTATCATTATGGGGTTATGGGGATTATGAAGTTTTCTGTTTAAGATCATTAGTCGATTAATGCCAGACCACCAATTTCGTGGATTGGTTGAGGTTAGACATTAACACCGTTGGATAGTGACTCATTGATCTAAGAGTTAAACGTTCTCGCGCGAGATCAAAGGTCCTGGGTTAGGATCCTGCGAGCGAAGTCACGGATGCGCACTATTGAGGATTCTTGTAATAGGACGAAACTGATGTCCAGTGCTTCCAGGTTTTCAATAGTGATCTAAAATCAATCGATTCATGATCTCAATCAAAAAGATAAATGAATCAATTTGTCAGTAAATGTCATGTTTTCTCTAACCAAGAAAAGTCTCTACCGATAATATAAGCTAAAATTATATCACGGACAACTTTTCTAATGGTAAAATTAATTTCAAAAAGAACCATTTACTTTATGTAGATACTTCATTACTTAAATTTATATCATATTATTTTGCTTATGATGATCAGCAGATTAATCAATAATAACGAGATAACCATTCATAAATCTATTTAAAACATACTACAATAGACATGAACTGACCAATTAATGAAAATTGGGCAAAATCATGTGAACGTATGAATGGATTGTATTTAATTGAATATTCCAAGAAAATATGTATTTATGAATTAATACAAATAGTACAATCTTATCTAGTAACTTCACCGTAGTTTACAAAGATGTACTTGGGAATCCAAGGTGTATTATGTTAATTTAGATTATTCATTCTTAGTCTAGTTACACATGAATAGCACAAGTTCCCCCAGGTCGGATAAACAGGCATACGGTATAGAGGTGTTTTACATAAATTCAGGAAATCGAATTGACCGATCAGACTGGTCTATGATAGCGAAATTTACTGACAAGCTACTTTACAGGTATAAATGATCTAAGTAAAGATTTTCTCATGGATTCGATTATAACCTTAAACTGATCTAAGTTATGCAGTCACTGTATATGCTAGATGGGCATTTAGTTCTAGCATGAGACTCTTTAGCAGTGTACATTAACAACGCGTAAATAGGGATCGAACTCAAAACCTTCAATTTTGAGCACAAACGCTTAACTTTCAAACCACTGAGCCTGAATCCAATAGTGTACTAGTTTAAATTCGATCAGTCATTGAAGTCTTGTGGCAATCCACTCATACACTCATACAGTGGTTCATATCTCATTCCTTACACATATATGCTATTTCTTGGCCTATCGTATGTATTGATCATTTTGATGATGCCTGATTAGTCCAGTGTATCAAACATTTTCTTTAATGATTATATTGTAAATTTTTTGCATTTTTCAAAATTCTCTCCAGTATTTACACAATTTGGTGTAAAAGGTGTTTTATATAAATCAGAAAGTGAAGGAATTATTCCATGGTCCGATGATTATAATAATTATCAATCGAAAATTTACAATGATTTAGCTACAGTATTCTGTAATCTGGTATGTATTTAATTGTTAAGATTGTATATAATTAATTACGATATGAGCGTTTTGTTATTCACTTGGTATTGTTTACTTGAATCTTCCCATTGATGTTTAGGACTGAGATTGATCAGTCTCTTGTTGACATATGTGTATCCTGTGCGGATTCCCTCGATATTACCTTAAGTCACAAGCTTTATGAGCAATGATGGATAGTGGCTGGCAATGAAATCCAAGACGCACGTTTTGTCCTATTTGGGACTCGTCAGTTCGGTATTACTTTGGCAAGTTTTGATGACTGTTCATATACATATGGTGTCTGGTTCTCCTATGAAGCAGGGTTGAACTGTACTGCTCGGTTTATGATGTGAAAGTGAGTATGGTGTCCGGTTCTCCTGGAAACTAATGTAAAATTACCCTAGTCCATAAGGGTATATTATAAAAATAATTATATAACGTTTTCATAGTTTATAATATATGATCTTTAAATATTTTGAATACAAGCTTAGGAGATCATCATATAATAAGAAAATATCTGAAGAATTTATATTTATACTTGTGACTGAATGGCAACGTTAAGACAATCTTCTAAAGATACATATATCACAATAGAGACTGATTAGTTGCACTCCGTATGATCAACCGCGAACTCTGATAAATCAAACTCGTACACACTGCACAGGACAGTGATTATCAAGACTTTGTGGCTCTGTTGATAAGCCACTGGTATTTGAAGTGAAAGTTACTAGCGTCGAATCTTAATGTAGAAAATGATACTTAGATATGGGTATAATCATCAAACTAATTACATATAAAAGAAATCCAGCTTACAATTTCGCTGCTTCCCATTAACTAAACCGGTAAATTGAATACAGTTCCACAGTATATATCATCAAACCTGAAACCATTTGGGTAGCAATAAAAAATGTTTATCTCAATCCCAAGTGATTTGAGGTACAAATCGCTACAAAATTTCTTCATATTCATTGTTAAATATTCTGACTAAACAACGTAGATTAGCTAAATTAAGTTAACTGTGTTTATGGACAGTAATGAGTTATCTACTATACTGAAGAAATATCAATGGTACCTGGAGCTTCCTTACATCTTTTTACTGTTGGTGTCTCACAAAACTATGTTTCAACTCAATTAAACTTTTCATAATTAGAACAATGTACGCTGAATACGTTATGACTATAAATTGTCATTAGATGAAGATCTCCTGAAAAACACTGGATATCTGACAGTTATTTCTTCATAATTTTAGACATTCTATCAGCTCACACCTACAATTATACATAAAATCTAAACCGAAACATTGTGGTCTTGATATTGGCACCCGGCTGTTAGATATCAGGTTTGGTGTTTGATCAGCCAGATTACCGAATTTCTTTATTCCAAGGTATTGCACTACGATTATCCATCATACCATTGATTACATTTGTTTGAGTTCATAACTTGCTTACGTTCAACCTGTCATTTTTTAGAAATCTACAGATATTGTACTTATTGTGTGAAATTAATCCATTCGCCTCAGTTTCATTTAAACTTGTAACTGTGCCTATCTGACAGGTGGTAATAAACAAATTGTTAAATATATTCTAGTATCCAATCTACAATCTAAAATAACTTCAAATTGTACGATTTCCACAACCATTCAAGCCTATTAATGTTTTGTTTCAATTTTTTTCTCAACATCTTAACTAATCTTTCTACCATTCTATTTTATGTCATCAGATTATCAGTAGTTTATTAACTGCAAATACACCAATATTTCAAGGTGCTAAATGTACAACAGTCATTTTTATAAGAATCACTATCGTTATTCGAGGTAAACGACAAGTTGTCAATGGTGTAACCAACAACAACAACACTTCAACAGATGGAGTACAAGGTAGTGCAACAATTGAATTACAAACATTACCTGGTTCACAATTGAGTCAAGAACAATTTACTCAATTATTAAATGATGGTCATAATCAATTTAATAAAACATCTAGTGTATTTTTAAATAATTTAGAGTCAACACGTAAGTGTTTTTCATATCGTTTTAATAATTTCATTGTTCTGACAAATGTCCCATTTTTGCAATTCACTCTCTTTGTCCCTCTTATTTGAATTAGTAATAATAACAATTCCTATTCTAAAAATAATAATGACATAATTCATACCATTTGACAAATATGATCAACTTGATATGGATAGTAATAACAAATGTAGAAAATAGATATGTGATATTATCAGTATCGGGGTTGCGAAGATTATTAAGTTTTTAATTGAAATCATGAATCGATTGATGTTAGACCACTAATGAAAACCTGGAAGCACTGGACAGTCATTTCGTCCTATTGTGGTACTCTTCCGCAGTGCACACCCATGATTCCGAGAGCGGAATTCGAACCTAGGACATCCGGTCTCGTGCGCGAACGTTTAACCTCTAGACCACTGAATCGGAATCCAACAGTGTTAATGTCTAACCTCAACCAATCCATGAAATTACGCCACCATCTCCATTGTACTGAGATAGATACCTGTCTCTACCTGAAATGGGTTATCTCCACTGATCACAGCTTCTCACTAGAACTCTGAGAATTCCCTAACGATGTTAGTCATTAGTGAGAACATGGTAATCAGATTGTTTTAAGTATTCGTTTACATATTACATCTTTCACACGTATTACAGAAATCAAAGACATCAGCCCGGAACTTTTAATTCTTTATGATCATCTATATACAGAAGGAGCTTACCCACACAAAATCATTCACAAATATCGTTGATAAAAACTAAAAGGAGCAAAGGGCTCAATTTACTACCTCTCACTACACTACTTTTGACCAGAAAAGAATCCGAAAAGAACAAGTTAATTTTGGCTACTTTTTGTTGCTGGCTGAGGAAGGAATCAATCCAAGCAAGCAAAGGTTCTTTGAGCCCATAGGATGAGAGTGTGTTTATAAGAAGCTGATGGTTAACCATTTCGAAATCTTGAGGAACCTTAAGGTATGGAACTAAGACTAGATATCCTCGGCTACGTTGAGTAAAGACTACATTAAAGAAGTCAGCGGTATGTCACACAATATCGTTTTTTAGGAAAGCAATATTGAGAATCATTGATAAATTCTTCAGTGGGTAAATAGTTAGAAAGTTCATTTCCAACAATTTTTTATGGGTCAACAATCGTTCATGTCTGTCTTATCTCGAGATTTGTGTGTGATATATACGGTTTTCCAACAGTTAGGGTAAGTACTTGTTTCCAGAGAGAGTAAACAGCTTTAGAAGAAGTGGAATATCTGGTCTACTATATTTGTAGATAATGAATGAAATCGCATCTATCCCATTAACGCTTGGAACTTTAAGAGAGTGTATACCCTTACTAAATTTTGGGTATGTGGAGGAGATAGGTTTTACTGAGTTACTAGTCACATACGTGACTTTCAAAATAGTGCCATTTAGGAATTCATTAGTTCTCGCAAAAATACCACTGAAAAGGTTCTCAGTGGTTCTAGAGTCCAAGGCACATATAAGACAGCTACATCCACGTTTAGTTTCGCTGCTGCAGTGATAGGCTTGGCAGTTCTGGATATTTAATTCTGATCTAGAAAAGCATCATGTTACAGTGACAAGTATGAAAAAAGGATTAGCTGGTAAAGCTAAGGTTTGTAAGGCCGAAATTTTATTTAGAAGAGAACGTGCATTGATCACTAGCGAGTCTATAGAAGAACTATGGAGTGTTAAGAAAAAACCGAGAACGTTCTTATCGATATTATATATTTTTAAGGTGACTGAACTACGATTTATTACGGTAATTGATCGTATGCACTATGGTTTGAATAAACTGTAGAGCTAGAGGGACCAAGGATTTCTGAAAACCATAAAACTATTATTTTGATAAGGTGAACTTATTTGTTGAAATTGACTTGGCTGACAGTTAGGAAAGTCACCTGATTGTTGGTGTTGAGTTAATGGTACGTAACTTAGCAGTCCATCTTGCATGTTGGGAAAGTGATGAAAAAAGTCATGTCTTGCAGATTCAGTATGTACAAATTTTGGAGGCAACTATGGGACACATTGATTCCTTGAAGTTTGTCCAATATTGGACCTGCTTATACAAAGGTTGGGTTGGCCGTTTTGTGCGTCATTTTCGTCAAGTATATTTCGTTGATTTAGGAAGTGAGGTTTTGACAGGTACCTATTGTTCGTAGGTTAGGCTGGAGTGATAAAATCGTGCCTATATAATCGCCCTTAGGTTTATTAGGGTAAAACTTGGTATCAGGGAGTATATATTTGTATGGTTGAGCCTTTGTAATATTTTTGCTACTAGTTTTGGAACCAGACACTTCTGGATATACTTTATTCCCATATGGTTTGGACTTTATAATCTTAACAGTGTTTCGAAGAGATTTCACGTTAGAACTATGCGTTTAGGTATAGGATTCTAATGTTACCTTGGGAGATATCAGATCTATGTCTACATTAGATATACATTGTATATGTTGGTCGCATCAGTGGGTCCTGCTGCTGAGGTAACGGAGTTTATGGTCACCGAAACCTGCATAACAACATTGCTTATTATCTAGTAAGCGATCCACTGATTTATTAATTAGTGTAATCAAAGCTACGGCAATCTTATTGGTATCAAGGTGTGATGCAAATGCTAGTGATAAGGTGTTCTTTATAAGTGATAGACGCGGCTAAACGTTTCTAAACTTACTAATAGCTGTTTGTAAATCTATGTTATTAAACAGTATGATGTAATAATCTTATCTATATGATATAAAGTTAATCACAATTTAAATGGGTAACAGTGTATCCTTTAAGAACAAGCTCAAAGCAACTGCGACCAATTTTAAACTCGTTATTAGCCGATCAGAAAACAGCTTTTATAAATGCATAGTTTATGGAAAACATTACCATAATATTATCAAGTGTCAATCAATTTTACACAATCAGTAAATCTACTGATCTCTTTTACGGGATACACTCCCTATAAATCGAAAAAAATATCAACAACATATAATCTTGTACTGACGAATATAATTTACTCATCTTCTCGAACCCTTGATAAGAATCAAACAGATTTCGAAGAGTTCTTATATTGTTCCTAGATAGGGTTCAGTAACTGGGGTTAGGATCATAGCTTTAAAGTTATACTTTGCATCATAAACTGACATCAGATATAATATAGAGTTGCTTTGTATGGACCAAATCGCAACTCTACGGATCATTGTAGAAAAATCAATTGAATAGAATTCATCGCTCTGCATCAACTTCATTGACTATGAGAAAGCATTTGACAGCGCGGACAGAACAACACTATGGAAGCTTCTTCGACACTACGGCGTGCCTGAGAAGATAGTCAATATCATACGGAATTCCTATGGTGGGTTAAACTGCAAAATCGTGCATGGGAGACAATTGACAGACTCGTTCGAGGTAAATACCGGTGTTAGGCAAGGTTGCTTACTCTCAGCTTTTCTCTTTTTCCTGGTGATCGACTGGATCATGAAGACGTCGACATCTGAGGGAAAGTATGGGATAAATTGGACAGCTAGAATGCGGCTGGACGATCTGGACTTCACAGATGATCTGGCTCTTCTATCGCACACGCAACAACAAATGAGGAGAAGATGAGCAGTGTAGCAGCAGCCTCAGCATCAGTGCGTCTCAACATACACAAGGAGATGAGCAAGATTTTCCGATACAACACAATATGCAACAATCGAATCACACTTAAAGCAGAAGATTTGGAAGATGTAGAATCCTTTACATATTTGGGCAGCATCATTGATGAACACGGTGGATCTGATGCAGATGTAAAGGTGCTGATCGACAATGAAAGAACAGCATATTTACAACTGAAGAACATCGGGAACTCAGAACAACTCTCAACCAACACCGAGGTCAGGATTTTTAATACAAATGTGAAGACAGTTCTACTGTATGGGGCGGAAACTTGTAGAACTACGAAAGCCATCATCAAGAAGATACAAGTGTTCATTAACAGCTGCCTACGCAAAATACTTCACATCTGTTGGCCATACACTACCGGCAACAACCTACTATGAGAGAGAACAAGCCAGATCTCAGTGGAGGAAGAAATCAGGAAGAAGCGCTGGAAGGGGATAGGACACACACTGAGAAAAGCACCCAACTGCGTCACAAAACAAGCCCACATATGGAATCCTGAAGGCCAAAGGAAAAGAGTAAGACCAAAGAACACATTACGCCGAGGGACAGAGACAAACATGAGAAAAATGAGTAAAAATAGGACAGAACTAGAAAGGAAGGCCCAGAACAGCGTGGATTGTAGAATGCTGGTCGGCGGCCTATGCTCCATTAGGAGTAACAGGCGTAAGTAAGTAAGTAAATGAGCTCTGTATTGACAAATTTCTCTGAAAAATGCAAGAACGGCTTTCTGATTATTGTAACCAAACAATGTAGACCCTCCACTCCATGGTTCATTGCAGGATTGAAGGTTTAGGGTGAAGATTTAAAGATACCATCGATTCGCCTGTTGCACACAATCTACAAAGAGTGAACTCAGCATTTGATACGCTTTAAACCATAATTTCTACTCTATGATAGTAAAAATAACTTTCAGTTATCATGTTAAGGGTAATTTTACTGCTGGCCATACGTGATACTTGAATTTCTCGCAGAAAACTAAAAGCCTAGTGTGGTGTGGGTTACTTATATCCACATACGTAGTATATAACGGTGGTCAAGCATAGAATGTATTACAGTAGAATGTCGGTGAGGAAAGAACGGGAACAGAACGCAGTTGGTATGAAAATGCATGAAAAATGACAATGGATTGATGTTTGCAACAGGAACAGTGAAGTTTGAGACGATGAATTGATATTTTGCAAATTAACGATTGACTATATGGTTCTCAGATTTTAATAAGATGCTCTGTAATTTTGTGCTCGATTACATTTCATTGTCCTCGCTTGTGTTCTTGTTCAATACACGAGTGCTCAGTTCTGATTGACTGATCCCTAAAGTGTATGTACGTTTACTGTTTACTGAGTGTAAAAATTCTATTTTTATCACAGTACATAGCACACTGTAGGATAATCTAGCTGCTGCTATCATATACCTTGATGGTTTATCCTAAATTTTAAACAGATGAACTATTTTATTCTATTCAGTCATCTTGTTGTTTATATCTATGGTTATGGGTATATGTATATGTTAGTACGTATGTGTTTCTATGCAAACTAATATCTTTCATGTGTTAGTTAAATTGAGTAGGTCTGTTTGCCTTCATCTATCCATGTCTCTTATCGTCAATCTGCGTTAAAGGCTGTCTAAAACATATGTATTCAAAATCACTATCATATTCAACTCTTGATATACCGTTGTTCCAAACGTGTCAAGTGTTAAAGAATGTAAAGTTCCGATAATCCCTAATTTGTTTAACAAGTAAATGTTTATTATTTGTATGAGTAATTATCATTCAACTGTAGATGTTCGTAACTGAGTTTCAACTAGTTACTGTTGGTATATATTCACCTTCATACAATTTCTTGCTTTGTAATTTATTCATATAATAGGTATTTCTTCAGTAATTACTTGTTCAAATACTCAATTAGTTTGTGGTCAACATGCATCATGTCGAAATACTGATAATGGTGTAACATGTACATGTGATCCAATGTGGAAAGATGTGAATCCATCTGATCCTGGAAAGAATTGTACATGTAAGTTTTATATAATTCATATACATATATAAATACTACAATAGTGAATGATACATTTGATAATTTTTGCCCTTAAATAGACAAATATAATATGTCTGAATATTGTGATAAAACAATCAAACTAAATGTCCATAGGTCGTGTAATTTTACAATATTCTTAGAACATAATAATGATTTAGTGGTTGCATTCCTGAGTCGATTGAAACTAAACCACCATGTAAAACCTGGAAGCACTGGACGACCGTTTCGTCCTAGTATAAGAGTCCTCAGCAGTGCACATCTACGATCGCGCCCCGCGGGATTTGAACCCAGGACTTATCGAACGCTTAACCTTTATATCACTGAGCTAGTATCAGACGATGTTATTGTCTGGCTTCAACCAATTCATGGAATTGCGTCACCGTTCACCAAAGTGCTTCCAGGTTTTCCATGGTGGTCTAGCTTCAATTGACTCATGAATCCAACTATTAAATTGCTAAATTTTCCACAAAACTCTCTTCTCATATTCATGAATTTAATTTGGATCAATTTTAAGATCAAGCATTGTCTTTCAATTCGGAGCATCTTATCAATTTCGTACCACAGTCCCATACCCGCTCATACTCACAGAAGGATAGATTTTTTGTGATGCTTTTGTTACAGTGATTGTTTATTTGACGTTTATCTGTGATCAGGAATAATCTTTAAATTGAATTAAATTTTATAAATTACAAAAATTTATTCTAGATTAGTATACTAAAAGCTGACGATGATAATTAAGCTGGATAGTCTAATGATATAATCTGGAAACTTTAAGATTATCAAAGGGTCGCTGAAGAGTAGAGATTTTGATTTTTACAGGATGATATTATTATCATTTGTTTCACTTTGTAGTTATTATCATCTGTTGTGTGATTTATATGTAGTAACATAGATATGATAACCATTTGTCAACCAATATCCTATGTAGCATTATGCTTCGTAATATTCTATGACACTAAAATATAGTCTATGACAGTTAAAACATTGTTTGATATTTCTGGAACTATGTTGACATTAAGTGTACTGTGCTAGGCGGAAATGATAATTCGTATAGTAAGATTATTAATCTTCATCGATTGAGGTGGTTGAATCGTGTATTTCGTATTCTAAACCATCGCCGATTTCAATGCATGATGTTAGCTAGTGTAAGAATTATTTGAAAGAAAGATAATCGGTCAAACTAAAACATGTAGGTAGACTCTGGAATCGTCGACTCTTAGTCTGAGCCAAGCAGACAGATATAGACTACCTAGTTGAAGTCTATTTAATGTCTTTGTGGCTGGAGATGTCGAGTTACAAGGTTCAGAATCGGTCATAATGGTAAAGAATCATTCACTCCTTATCATACCATAGGTCTTAAGTTTCATTAAGGTTTCATACATACAATGATTTTACAATAAGTGTATCTATAATGATAAGCCATAATTTAGTTCTGGAAGTTACGGTTCTTTCAATCTTCGTTCTTATATAACGGTAAATGAACTCTGAAAAAAAATAAGATTACATGTTTCTAATATCAAACGGGATCTACATAAAAAAGATGAACCGGGAAATTAATAGAATAATATTTCCCATTGTGATTAATAAAGAGGGAGAGACATTGGTAACTTGAAAAGATCCTTGATAGTTAAGTGGACTTCCTTAACAGTCAAAAAACAGTATTTATTAGTAACAGTAGATAACTTGAACATCTTCCCTAGAATCAGTGACTAAAAATGATAAGTTTTCTAACTGAACGCTAGATTCTGTTCCTAAACTCTTCTAGTAACCCCCAGGCTAGATCTACACAGCGACTTGAACACGAGAGAAAAGATGCGAAATATGGAAGAAAACGCTTTACTCCAAAGGTTCGTTTGTGTACACAAAATCTAGGGGTTTTATAGTATTCTGGATATCCTTGGGTTTCCGGAAAGCTCTGGAATGCTACTGAACATATTAGCATTGCAAGTAATCATCCAATCAGGAACTCGACATGCGACTTCTCACTTTCAAGACGTTTCTGGCAAAACCTCTATTGAACTCTGATTGGATAAGATGCTTCTCAATGTTTTCAGAGCACTTCTCGGCTTTTTTCAAAGAGTTTTCTGGACCTACCCAACAAAAAATAGTCCTTGACAAATGCTAAAACGTTTAGGCTATTCACACATTACATCAAATCTCTCTAAATCATTGGTTAATGTTATTAATATACAAGCTGATCAACCTACAATTTCAATGAAATATAAAGTCATTCCATCTAACAAAATAAAAAAACCATATTTCAATGTGTATAGAATTGTTACAGCTTTATTTTATTTGAACACATAAAGATTGATACAAGAAGGTACCAAATACATATGTACCACACAATAAAAATAAGGTTAGTAGTAGTTATCATTAATTCATGTGAGGGCTGTAATACTGCCCGGGTGCTTAAACCAAAGCAAGGTGGCTTTCATAAGGAGCCACATCCAGAGCCTTTGACCTAGAGGTCTAATATACAAGACAGTGAGTGGAGCAACGTAAGGAGATTTAGTCCCATGGTAGCTGGTGACCAACAATAGATTCATACATAATTTATTCCCTCAGGATCCTGAAGCCCATATGTACCATCGGTTTGGAATAAGGGTTTTCCAACTCCCCTAATCGAATCCTCCATATCCACCAACCTGACCACAATAATTATGAACTTAAAACTATTGAGCCTAATGATGAAAATTAGCTAGCCAGATGATAACCATTAAGAATTCAGAAAGACTTAACACCTATTTTGTAAGTGTATAGAACTGTTAGTCAATATAGAACATTTATTACATTTTTATATTATTTACTTTGATTTTACTATGAAAGAATGTATTTATAAAATTCCACTGGATGAATTTGAAGTAAATCCAACAATTTGTTTGGCAATCTAGTTCAAGCTTTTTTCAAACTATTTTAATCAAACTTATAATTGCTTGAACAAGTTTAGACCAAATCGCTACTCAAAGTATTGGATTAACTTTAAATTCATTCAGTGAAATTTTACAAATACATTCTTCGGTGAAACTAACATTTATGGACGAACCAATCAGGTATAAGATAACAGGTCTCCGATTTTGGCGTGAAATTCACCCATCCATTTGGTTAAAAATAGAGTTTTGGCATTATAGCTAATGTCAGTTCGTGATGAAAATTCTAAATCTAATTCCTAACCCTAACAGTCTGTTTTACTTGTGACCACCAATTAGGGAGCAGTGAATTATCGATCGGACTTATAACGCACAAAACGCGTACAATCAGTCTAGAGTCCCCTTATTGGTTCTACTTCCCGCCTAGCCCCATCTGTTAAGTCCAGAACACCAATATCAGCCTCTGATATATGAATAATCTATTTCAAGCATACTGGGTTTATATACCAACCAAACAGACCACATCGTACCATAAAATAGAAAACAACATTTATATAAGATTTGGCCAAATGTGTCTGTGAATGTGGGAGGTAGTAATTAATAAATAGGACATAATTCAAGAATGGTAAATCGTGCAATAATAGTCCATAGGTCAAAATAAAGCTCATAATAAGAGGGAAATGAAAGTGTATAGTTTAGTTATTTAATAATTATACGATAAAAATATACGCATAGTATCGGTCCATAAATGGATCCCAAAGTTATCATTCATTATGATTATCGGAGCATAATACCATCAACTCTAAACCATAATTATAATTCCTCACGCTGGCTTATAACCCTTATTTGGTCCTAGTTATTAAGTGAACACTCTCAAGGTCCCTCTAGCATCACTCAAAGATCGTCTATAAATTAAAGTTTCACTCATTCTTCATATCAACTATTTAATCAAATTTAAACGAAAGCGTCTTATATATTAATTTTATTGATTCTTTCAACCACTACCACTACCAACACCGACAACAACAACAACAACACCCTTCCCCTCGTCGTTTATTTTCTTTTCATAGTACATCCTGGAACAATTGCATTAATTGTATTCGCTGGAATATTACTTATCCTAGCTATAATTGCTATTATCTTCTTTGTTATTAAAACAAATGAAGTGAAAAAGATGAAATTAAAAACAAATACACAATCAACTTAAAAACTCTACGGATTGATGGATTTCCATGATGTTCAATGACAAAGTTATTAATAACAGTAATGTTTCTGTGTTTACCTAATATGAATTTCTATATTTATATAGATTGAATTGTTATATTATACATTTTAATGCTTATTATATTAGTTTATGAATTTCATTTATAGATATCATTAGTTAAAAACTATATTCATTATAATTGTTACTTCATTCATTTAATTATTAATAGTTGGGGATCTATGGAGATTGTAGTATTGTAATAGATGAATTCATGAGTCAACTTTACTTAGATTACTATTGGATACTTAGAAACACTGAACGATTGTTTCGTAAGAATATGGGATTATTTAGCGCACCTTGATGTGGTGGTCGGGATTACCTATCGTGATGAACCAAACGAGTTATATTGGCCGAAACAATCGTTCCTCAAGATCCTGTCATGTAAGACAGGTCGGCTGAAGAAAGGTAAGACTAATAGTAGTAAACTCAAGATCCGAAGAAGTTGTACTGATGACTGTACAAAGATGTGACAGCAGTAAGGTGTTTCTTTCAGAAAACTAGCATAGCAGCGATACTGCCTTCCCAAAAGAAGGGGTGGGGTTAGAAAAGGTTGATCCTAAAAATGCACACCTCGTCTTATCCCATGGATGTCCGTCTTTGATGGTAAGGTCCCAACAAGTACGGAACTGACATAAAAATTACTCACAAAAAGGTCGGGTATGACCAACCTCAAGCAGTTGTCCCTTGTACACTGCGGTCACGCTCTCAGGTCACTAAGAACACCTTTAATCCGATTTTTTTCAGGTATTTCCAGGAGAACCCTTCCACAGTGTGGGCAACCGGGAAGCGATGACCTCCCTCACAACTCTAACAGCTGACTGATTCAGCACACGCAAGGCCCGAACCTAGGACCTTCGGTCTTGCACGTAACCGCTTAACCTATAAACCACTTGGCCGGAATCCAACGGTGTTATTGTTTAACTTTAATCAATCCAGGAGTCTGCACAACCCTTTTCCATTGTTTGAGGTAAACAACCGTCTCACCACTGACACGGATTAGACTCCATTGGTCACAGCTACCTACTAGAACTCCGGGAGTTACATTTTGAAACTAGTCACTAGTGAACATATGATTGTTTTCAGTATGAGGATTTGTGGAGATTGTAGTATTAGAACAGTTGACCACCATTTAAAGTCCTGAGATTGATTCCTACTTACGGGATAATGGATGTGTGCTGCTGCGGAGTTCGATACTAAACAAAACGGTCGTCCAGTGCTTCCAGGTCTTCAGTGATAGTATGGCTTAGATAGATTCGTGAATGAAACTGTTAAAATTTACTTAATGTAAATTGGTTAAAAGTAGCTCAAAGGAAACACTAGACGATCTAAGTTTGATGTTGGTTGACACTTGTCAATAAATGTATACCTTTAATCTTGAGAGAATTATTTCTTCTTAACGGAAGTGAAATAACATCATCATTTTTCAAATCTAGAAACGTTACAACTAGACTATTTCGAAAGTGACTATCTGTTAAACAGAATTTTCATCAAAATTACATACTTCTTATTTGATAATATTCTAAATGAAATTTCAAATCAAATTACATTATGTAGTTGAAATTTTAATGTATGTTATACACCGGGGATTTAGTGTAGTCGCCAAACTTAAAACCTAAACACTGTGTATTGTTTTTGAGAGTTTGAAATGAATTAAGGCTTTGTATATCATTCGTCCTGATAATCGTTAATAAATAACTAACAACGGTGTATAAATTTCGGAAGACAATACTCAGCGTTGATTACAGTTTGCCATTGTACAACCTAGATCCTTAAGCCACAAGCACACAAAGCGATTTCGAGCGGAAATGTGAACGAGAACGAGCAAATAAAAAGGCGAATTTTCTGACAATATTTACGAAGAACATATATATAAGAAAGTGAATAAATCATTGAACGATTTGGGGTCGTAAGAGGTATATATGTATAAGTTACACCATGTGATGAACAAGCTGTGAGAGATGACCTAGTCAATAACCTGTATTCTTAAGCATGTTACTAAATAAAAGCCATACAGATTCATATTACATTAGCAAACATTTCATTTAATTCCAGATAATTAATGTGCTTATTTCACGTATATACATATGGAGTTACCGACTGCTTTTTGTTTTATGCAAGAAACTTGTTGAAATACTTTGCGCTGAGTATTCTATCTCGTACTAAACATATAATATTTAATAAAGCCATCAATAATGAAAATAATAATAATAATAATAATAATAATACATCAAATGAACAAATGAGTTTCATCAATTTCATTCTGGCCCCCGATAAATGTCCATAAACATGAAGAACTACCATTGGGTTACAAATAACGCAGTGTTTTAAACCAGTCTTTGTTTACTCCATTAGTATAGTTGGGTTGTATAAACTTCGGGTGGTTGTAGTAATCAAATGGAACTGTATATCATAGAAATGGGGTGTTATGAATTTATGCATACGTCAACACTTATGAGCTTAATTATAAACCTGACAGATACGCTTTGAAGTACATAGATCATTATATTTCCTTGTTAATCGTTCAAAGAATCCAACCCATCAATCAATTACTGATAACGATATATTAGCTTGAATCATAAATTTCATCTGATAGGGTTGATGACATATTTAAGATACGCTAACTGTACATGATGTATTGAAGTTCATACATATAATCAAACGGTCATGAGACAAGTTCCTATTTCCATATTCCACTATCTCTTAAATGATCATCAGTAGAACTAGTAATATACTTATCTCTAATTGCCATTTTCAAAGCATAATTCATCATTTTATATGAGGGTATCGTTAATTTTCTTGTTTCCAAAATTGATAATTAAGTAGATAAACCGACTTCAGGTATTTCACTCTGTATAATTGTTTTACCACCAAGAAATAACTCGTAGACAAGATCCACTTATTCGTTTAAATCATTCACTTACGTAGTTAATATCACGAACTGATTTTTGTTGAATAACCACTGAAAACTGAATATACATGGAACATAAAAATGATAGAATTTCTTCGGATTACGTCTGACGTATCAAATAAATGAGGAATATCAAGTAGACTGTTGGAATTAATCAAACACAATTCAACAAACTAAACATTCTGAAGTTTTTTTGAAATTATTGGTTGTTTAATTATAAAAAATACCTCGTCGTAATTGTCAAATGGAAATCTCCATTCACAACGAACTTAATAGTTCGATTATAAAAGTGTAATTCATCATGAATTGCCCAGAATAATTCATTAGAATTATTTAGCCTACTCATAAGTAATATATATTTTTACATATGAGTTGTTTACCGATTCCATGTTTCTCAGCGACACAACAATGTTATTGATCAGTAAAAACAAATCTGTGTATACTTAGTAAAACTATCGAAAAAGTTTAAAACAAAGTGAAATTCACATTACACATTGACAGTTTTAGTTCAATATAGTAACATTTAACAAAACTGAATGATAATTGGGTGATGAAAACCAACAAATAACTAGCTACCATATATACCATATTTATTGATAAGCATAAACTAGAATAGGCCTCTACGTTTTGTTAAGTATAAATAATAACCGAAATTGAATGTGCATTTTTTCTGATAAACACAATTCACAATTCCGAACTACAACTGTTATACATTATGTTACGAAATAATTATTCATTTAAAGCTTTTTTTCGACAACAAACATGGTTAGATTATCAGATTATAGATCAACTAGTAACAGAATAAACTCCAAACATATAATTGTAATTGTAAGTTAGAAATATGAGATTCATTTTATACGAATATGCATCAATATTCAAAATAGGCATGAGGGACGTATTCACCGATGATCATGATAAATGATTGAGACCTATCGTGGATTGATTGAATTTAGACTTATACACCTTTGGATGCCGATTGACTAGTGTCGAGTTTGACCTAGACTAGAATTCCCAGGTGCGATTTTTGGTCGTGAATAAACACTTATAAAGAGTTTCATACTAAGACGAAACGACTGTTCATTACTCTCAGATTTGCAGCCATTATCTAACTTAAATTTTGTTTAATCACATTCACATGTTGATTTTGTTGAATAGGAAAATATAGGTCAATAAAATGCAAAGAACGTAAAAAGTTCACAATGTGAGAAAGAATGAATGAGTGGGTTTTTTTGTTATTAATAACCATAATCTAGTAAATAAGTGTAATATTTGTCTGCAATTAAAAACATGTTAATCAGAATGTTATCTATGAAACGAAATGTCATGAATACAATGTGGTGTGATGTGAGAGGAACATTCAGGTAGCTCAAGGCTATGTTGACAGAATATCACCAGTGTTTGAAACATGCTACTGAGCCATTGGTCGACTTAAAGAAACTGGAAGATTGGACGACAATATAGTTACATTTGTTAGGAATAGAACACAAGATCAACTTCGAAGGGACAAAATTAGTTCAGAACGAGTTTGGCATACACAAAGAAAAATTGACAGTGGAAGTAATGTGTGTATGAGCTAATCTGAACAACCTGAACGAAAAACGTGGAATGCAACCAGTCACCTGTTGACAAATGTTTATTAACAGATAATTTGAACTTTATCTATCTCCACCTTATAGAATCCACACTTAGCACTATTCCGACAAAAAGCATTCATTACATAATTTTAACATAACAACGACATATTTGACTTTCTTCATTTCTCATATATATTGAGCAACATAATATCTGCTTGAGTTTGTAAATGTATAACTTTATCAAGCCCCTTTAATTAAGTTATTTACTAAGCAGTGTTATTTATATCGTTAACAACACCTTTACCCTATTATCCCCATGGTTCTATGACCATGGAGGGTTAGTCATGTGTTACAACGTACAAATATATTTCTCTTACTAGCCCAAATGTTAGTTACCTAAATTGCTAGACGACTAATTTACTTGCTTAAATTTGTATGCTTCTTAAATCCTGAGCCGTAAA